GGCGCTGAGCTCCCGCGGCCCCACAAAGCTCCCTTTGTGCCCGGCGGCCTCCGCAGTACCCGGTGACGTCAGCCTCGGTGAGGCGCCCACTGTGGCCGAGCGCGGGCTGCGGCGCCCTCTGGTGGACGAGCTCGCCTCCGAGCCCCGCCCAGTCGGGGCTGCCCTTCACCTTGCCCTGCTCAGAGGGTCAGGCGCTTGCCCGGCCCACCCCACAGGCACCCCTGGCGTTTCCTTATCCATCAACATGCGTGCACTTCCCAATGGCCTCCTGGAAGCCTTCGCACTCTTTGAGCCCTAGTCCCAATGCAGCCCCCTCCAGGACGCCGCCTGGCTACTCCCACACTGAAGTATAGCACCTGCCTGTCCCCACCCCCGCACCGGGTTTGGAGGGTGCCCTCTGGGGCAGAGGCCCACATTGTTCCCAATTTTCTGTTGGGTCAAGCCCAAGGGGCCTCAGTTCTGGGCAACATGTTGGACTGGGAGACTGGAGGGTGTGCAGGTAGCTGTAGTCTACCTGGCTGTGTGACCGAAGCAATGTCTCTCCGCCTTGGGCCTGGGGGGTCGGTCACAGTTTCCTTCTACACTAGACTCACGAGGCACCTCTCCTGCTCCCAGTATGGAAGAGTCCCTTAGAACAGCTCTTTAAGAGATTTGGCCCCTGCGGTTCCAGCAAGGCTTGAAGGCTGCCCCAGGCCCAGGACCGCAGACGCGCTGGAAGGAGAGCAGAGACATATGGGCCTAAGCAGGTATATCCTCACCCAAGTGGGAAACCCAAAGCACTGAGCACTGGGCCTGAGTCTGATTTGGAGAGCTGAGCACCCAGGGGCCCGCCACCATGAGGGTTCGGGTCCAGATCCGCCATCAATCACCTTGGGACATCTCCGCCTGGGACATCTCTGGGATAGAAGAATGCTGTGCAATCTTTGGTATTTTTCTTTCTACATTTTATTATTTCAAACCAGGTGAACAATTCCATAAAACGTGAAAAAAGCAAGGAAGTGTTCAACGCTGAAGGACCCGGCCTGGGGCGAGGGCTCGAGGGGCTTGGCCCCTCAGCAGGCAGCGGTGGTTCCTAAGTTAGCGCTAAGGAGCTACGTTTAGGTTAATGGAGCCACTGGGCAGGGGCCCTCCGTGACGTTGGCAGTTGTCCGGAACAGCCCTTGGAACCCGATTCTGTGGCGGGCAGGGTGGGCCACCGCCTGCATAGGGGCAGCCAGCGGAGGGAGAGGTGTAAACACGCAGACACACTCAAGGCACGGAATCACTGGAAGGGAGTTGGGTGGGTGCTGGTCAGGATCAGTTTTAAATAGTTTTTCTCTAAAAAGTTTTCTAGGTTTGCAGGTTTCTTTCTTTTTTCTTCTTCTTCTTCTTTTTTTTTTTTTTTTTGCTTTACTTCCATTTTTTAAAAAAGCTACGAGAGTGAGCAGGTGGACTGTGGTCTCCAGGAATGGTGGCGTCTCACGCTTCTTGTGCTTTTTCCTTTGGGGCCTCCAAGCGGCTGAGGGGGTGGGGTGGGCAGGAGGCTCCCTGTAAACATTTGGACTTGGGCTGGGTCAGGGGCTGGTGCTGGGTGAAGCCAGGGGTCCCAGGCTGGAGAAGTGGGTGCCCCTCCAGACACAGGTTTTGGGAGATTCAATATGTGTTCCCCTCCCCCGACGCAGAACAAGACAATAGTTAAAACCAGAACAGATGCCCAGGAAGGGGGTACCACAGCCATTCCCAGCACCTGCGACAAGGAAGGGCTTCAAACAAGGAGGCCTGTGGCAGCCCCTCCCCCAAGTCTCTGGAACTGAGGAAGGGGACGGGGGAGCCAAGAATACAGAGAGGAGAAAAGCGGCTAGGGGAGGGACAGGCGGGGAGCGTGGTCCTCTTGGCCCCCATCTTCCTCAGGGGTGTGGGGGAGCACAGTCAGCGGTGGCCCTGGAGATGGGGGACAGTGAGAGCATGGGTTGGGATGTAGCCAGCGTGTGCTTCCCTCCCACCTCCCTCGACAATGACCCTCACCTTTCTTCTCATCCACTCGTTACCAGTGACACATCCAGGAGCCAGTATTTTTTGTGGGGTTATGTGGGGAGGGGAGTCTGTAGCACTGGCAGAGTCTTTCCCACCTCCCCCAGGGCCAGTGGGGCCAGCCTCAGCCCAGGACCCTCAGATAGGTCCGAGGGAAAAACAACAGGGACAAGCACTGAGCTGGTCACACTGAGTAGCAGGCAGCTGGGCCCCTCATCATCCAGCCTCCTTCAGGCTAGGCCAATGGCCTGAGGAAGTGAGTCTTCTCCAAGGAAGGTGGGGACAGCCCTCTAGCTCTTTCCCAGTGCACGGCCAGGCGATTCTGCTGTCTGGACCACTGGGCAGAACGGAGCCCAGCCCTACCTGTGCTAGCTTCTCAGAGCCTTGCACTCAGTGGCCCTCCCGACTCACCACCCTGTGCCCCTCCTTGTCCTCTGCTCTCCTACTGAGCACCAAGTTTCCCTACCCCCACCTGGACCTTCCCCAGCCCCAACCGCATCCCTTCTCTGGGCTCAGTGGCCCCTTTATTCCTACCCAGCTCCCTGCCTGGCCCCCCCTCTGGCTCACCATCCTGCCAGGCCCTGCTGCCCCTCAGAAGAGGCCGCAGTCCTTCAGGTTGTTCTTGATGATGACGTCAGTGACGGCGTCAAACACGAACTGCACGTTCTTGGTGTCGGTGGCGCACGTGAAGTGCGTGTAGATCTCCTTGGTGTCCTTGCGCTTGTTCAGGTCCTCGAACTTACTCTGGATGTAGCTGGCTGCCTCGTCGTACTTGTTAGCCCCTGTGGGAGGCAAAGAGACAAAACGGTGAGGACCGTGATGCGCAGGCAGCAGGCAGACCCATCCCACACGCACAGCAGGTTCTGTGTATGTGAATGGACAAGCTATGAAGTGTGTTTTGAGAAGGGCCCAGTAAGTGCAGGCCCAAGTACCCACACGCCTCGGCAGCACCATCCCGACCAAGAGTCCCGCGGTTGCCCCTCTGTCCAGCAGGGGGCGCCAGTGGGCTACCTGGTCACCACCAGCACCTTCCCAGAGGCCTAGTCCCCACACCTGTGTACTCAGGGAAGCAGATGGTCAGGGGACTGTGTGTGATCTTCTCCTCGAACAGGTCCTTCTTGTTGAGGAAGAGGATGATGGACGTGTCCGTGAACCACTTGTTGTTGCAGATGCTGTCAAACAGCTTCATGCTCTCGTGCATGCGGTTCTGGGGGGCAGGACAGCACCGTCAGCACCAGCCATCGGCCCCCAATCCCCAGCCCCAGTGGCCTCTTGGCCTCTCACCATCTCCTCATCCTCGGCTAGCACCAGGTCATAGGCGCTCAAGGCTACGCAGAAGATGATGGCTGTGACGCCCTCAAAGCAGTGGATCCATTTCTTCCGCTCAGACCGCTGCCCACCCACATCGAACATCCTGTGGAACACAGGGCTGCCTTAGCTCCGGAAAAGGGGGTTCTGGGAGCGGGACCCTGCCCTATTTCACAAGTCAGCCAACCGAGCACAGGGGCCTGCTCAGAGTGGGCAGCTGCCTTCGTGGAATCCTCCACACTTGTCCACCTCCCCGTTCCTGGGCCAGGGCTGGTCAGCAGGGAAGGCTGCGGCCACACAGGGCAGGGTCAGCAGAGGCTGAGCCGCTGGTGACCACACAGGCTTGAGAAACTTCAGAGTGAGGCTGGGAGACCCTGGACCAGTCCCTCCCTCCCAACACAGCCAGCAGCAAGCAGGCTCTGGAGTAAGGGTCCCGCCCTCTGTCACTGCAAAGGCTGGCAGGTCTCACCCTTCCACTCTGCCCACTCACTTGAAGTGTAGGTCCTTGAAGGTGAAATGTGTCTCCACGATGCCCGTGGTCTTCACACGGGTCCGTAGCACGTCCTGCTGTGTGGGGATGTAGTCACTCTGTGCGATGCGCTCCAGGTCATTCAGGTAGCTGGGGATGGGGTGGGGGGTCAGTGGGGGCCAGCACTGGGCCTCCTTACCGGGACCCCTGCATTAAATTCATCTGGACTAGAAGCCCTTGCTTCCGGACGCAGAGAAGGGAAGGAAGCCGGGGCATCACCCTGCGGGCTAGGCCTCTGGGAGGAGGTGCAGCTCCGTGCAGGCCAGCCCAGCCCCAGCACCCAGCTCTGAGCCAGGCCTGCCTCAGACAGGATCCAGGGAGGTGGAGCTGCAGGAGACGGGGTGGGATGGGGCAAACTAATTCTTCAGTGAGGGATTTCGGATGCGAATCAGAGCAATTATGGCACCGTCTGCAGAGGAGCCTGGCGTGTCCCCTCGATGTGGAGCTGGACAGGTTGGGGGCTGCCTGGCCCAGTGGGCTCTTTGCCTAGCACCCAGTAAAATCTGGGTTCCTCAGGGGAGGGCATTGACACCTGCTTGGTGGAAGCCCCAGGAGCTCCTCATTACCAGCTCCCTTAATTAGTATCATCACCCGCCCTGGGTCCTGGGGCCAGTCTTGCTGCCTGCCTCAATATCCTTGCTGTGTCCTGGGGGCTGGGCCCAGGCTTCCGAGCTGCTGCCCAGGGCTGATGTCTTCCTCCTGGGGCCAGCCCTTGGCTCCCACCAGCAGCTGGGCCAGAGGTAAATGACCTCAGAGACAGAGACAGAACAGAATAACAGGAAGGGCCATGGGGAACCATGACGCATGTGCTGTGATCTGCATACCATGCCCCGCCCCCTACCGAGAGCCTCCAGTCTGGAGCCCCCATGGCGGGTTCCATACCAGCCTCTTCCTTCTCAACAGGTGGGCTCACCCCGGGGACCCACTGCTCCATGGCAGCCTTGGAGAACTGCTGTAAAGGTGGAGAGTCTCTGTCCCCTGTAGTGTCCCAATCCACTCCCCACCCTAGTGATCTTATCAAGGCGTAAACCTGCTCGGGAGAGCAGGGCCCGTGTTTGATGCTGAACCCCCACCCAGAACAGCACCGGGCACCCAGTAGGAGCTTAATGGGGAACGAAGAAGGGGACCAGGGAGGAGTGGGAAGTGGCCTGGAAGATAGCTCAATGCTTGCCCTCCTTGAGAATCCTAGGCACTGAGGTGGCAATGGTTGACAGAGCTCACCCCTCCCTGCCTCTAGGATCTAGAAGCTCTGCTGGCGCTGAGCCTCTGTGACCTCTGGGAGGGGCAACACTGAGGCCTGGAGGCCCCCCAGAGCTTGGCAGTGACCACACAGCTCCTGTGACGGGTGTGTGCTCACAGGGAAGTTCGGGCCACTGCAAGGAGGATGGAAGTGACTGTCCATGTAACCGGGGCAGGGCTTGGAAATCATGGCCAGGCAGACCGCCTCCCACCCACGCTCCTGAGGCCCTCTCTCCAGGCAGGCTCACAGCTGGATGGCAGTGGGGGTGGGAAAGGGCTTCCAGGTGGAGGGACTGGCTTAAGCAGAGGTAGGAGAAGGAGGTAAGTGTACAGGGTCAGCAGCCTATCTGGGGGGCACCATCCAGAGCCTGTGGATGTCCCCCACAGCCCCGCAGCCATCAGGGCTGGCCACCAACCTGTCTTTCCTGTTCCCCATGGGGTGCTCAGCACCCTGCACCAGGTACCTTAGGGAAGAAAGCTGGGGCATCACCCTATAGGCTAGGCCTTTGCAACTCCTGGGACCCCCAATTCCCCCGATTCCTCTACGCACATCCGTCACCTCTCAGTCGATCTCCTCCCCTCGTGTCCCCCACCCCCTGCCAGCATGAACTTCCTCTGTGACCTCAAGCACAGCCAGCACCCCAGGAGTCTACACGTGTGTCCCTGCCTGGAAGCCCTCCCCCTTCCTCCAGCTCATGCTCAGAACTCAGCCCAGGCAGTCCCGCCTCTGGACCACCCTGACTCCCACACACTGACACCCTAAGTTGTCGCTGCTTGCAGACTTATCCGTTCCACTCATCACTGTGTCCCGGAAGCCTGCACGCGGTCTGGCACAGAGTAGGTGGCAGCGAATGTAGAATGATAGCATCTAAGGACAGATTAGACTCAGATGGCCTGGCGGGGACTCTACAAGCCACCCTACCGGGCCTTCCTCCTGGCCTCCCATCCCGAACCCAGACCCACCAAGGCCTTTACTGATGGTCAAAAGCTTCATAGAGACTAACAGTATGTTTCTGAGAGTTCTCAGGCTCTCGGTCCAGCCTGTAGTCCAGACCACGCCCCGCCCGGCCCTGCCCCTGGAACTCACTAGGCGGCAGAGTCGTTGAGCTGGTACTCCCGCGAGCGGCCAAAGCAGGTCTGCACACCATGGTCAGCCCAGAGCCTCCGGATGACGCCGGACAGGTCCTCAGGGAGCACGCCCTGTTCCTCGGCCGTGCAAGACAGCGCAAATAGCTGCCTGGCGTCATCCTGAGCACAGCAGCGGGTGGTCAGCCAGTCGTAGAAGCGCACCCCCCACCCCACCCCTTGAGAGCAGGGAGGCCTCCAGAACGGGGCCTCGGCTGGGGTGTTCTCGGGTTCCCCAGGACACGGTTTGCCCGCAAGCCTTTTGGGAGGTAGGCAGGAGTGGGGGTGAGAGTCCACATACCGCGCGGGAGGGGTCGGCAAAGTCAATCTGCAGATTGCCCATGGCTTTGACAATGGCCATGATGGACTGGATGGTGTTGCTGTAGACGACCGCCCGGTACTGCCGGCAGTCCCCCTCTGAGTAGCCA